ATGACACTTTTAGTAAAATTCATCATCATCACATCACCATTAGTCAAAATGAAGCGCCAAAACAATTCTCATGATCTTTTATCAGCGATTTTTGACAACCATAGAGATCTTATTAATGTATGTGTGTATCCCATAGAAAACAAAGCTTAAAAACATTGTCTTTGAGTATGTACTTTACATAGGCCTACTTCAAAAACGTGATTTCACAACCACCTCAGCCCCACCATGGCTGGGCCTGAGGTGAAAAAATTTGAGGAAATAGTACCTCTCGAGATGGCTGGAAATGACACTTTTACATCATCATCACATTACCATTATAGTCAAAATGAAACGTCAACAAATTTCTCATGATCTTTTATCAGGGATCTACTTAATATCCAGGACAACTTAGGCCTAATTATAGCTTACTAAGCTTTAACTATATATACTATATTATTATCAACAAATCACAACTTTTTTCGCATTTAGCACATTTTTCTTCACTTTTTATTGTTATTAATATTAATATCAATTATTACTATCGTCATCATCATCATTGTTATTATTATTATTACTATTAGTAGTAGTATTATTAAACAAACATTTAAAGAAACTTGCAAAAGGATAAAAACGAAATTGAACCACAGTATCGCATTTCTATCTTAAAAGACCTGGCCTGAGATTTATGGATTTAAGATTTTGTTAAATCACGCTTAGGCCTATGTGTTGTATTAGGCCGATGTATAACGTGTACTGGTGCATATTTACATGTTTAGAAGTATTCATTTTGAGTGATCCCAGGAAAGAATTTGTATTGGCTCAAGAATAAGCTTTACAATTTTAACACTGTGTACAAAGGGTGGGGAAGCCGCGGCTCCCACGGCTCCCCCCTGGATACGTCCCTGCCCTGACCTTGGGTCAAACATCGGTGAATATGATCTCTTACTCTCTGACTTTTTTTCTTGCAATCGTTCTTTTTTTAACAGGTTCACTGCACCCCCACTGGCCTGCCACTTCCTTTGGCTCACCCGTTACTGTTTGGATGGGCCTCCGTCGCTTCCCAACCTTCCACCGGCCCCTGTGGTTGGTTGTCTGGCGTTTCCCGACGGCCGTTCAGATCGGCATTCCCGAGCAGAATGTCCTATTTCTCCACAACGGTAACACTCCGTCCTTGCGTACTGGTTCCACTGGTTATCCCGCTTCCCTTGTCTGGTACTAAGGTTCTCTCGTTCGTTGGAATAGGACGATCTCGTCTACTGCTATTAGTAATAAATTCGGATAACTGGTTCAAGGCTCGTTCCATCTTATTTAACGGCTCGCTATCCCCTTCCTCTAGAGTCGCTCGCACGTGCTTTCGGCTTTGGATAGGCACACGCTGCTTTTCCAGCTGCTGGAATGTCTCTATATTCAACGCCACTAACATTGCATCATCCATCTAAAAATCCCCTCTCGTACTTCTGGATCTGTTACTGCCTCCATAAAATGGCCTTTTGCCAATCGCTCCCTCTCTTCCGCCTGCATGGTAGGATATGCCCTTTTCGCCAATTCTCGTACCACTAAGTCTTGGCCTAACTGTTGCAGGTTCTCCCCGTCCTTCTGCCTGCGGGTCCTTAAAAGCTAAAAAGGTGGCTGCTTTTTCATCCGACCACCCGTTCGCTAATTTGCAGGATTCGAAGTGTGTCCAGTATTCACGCCAGGGAACTTTCCCCTCGTACCGGTCGGGATTAATCACTGGCCGCTTCATAGCGTCTCCAAATACCCGTTCGAATGCCTCCCGTCCATAAACGGCATTCTCTCGTTCCAGGGGTGGAGGTTGCTCTAATACTGTTACCGGTACATCTGGTATCTGGTATGCAGGTCGGATCACTGGTCGGGTAATCGTACTCGTAATCGAAATTTCCATTCATTGGAACATAACTGTTAACGCACGTAGGTATCGGGTTTACTCGTACCGTACTGTGCAATGATCCATAGTCGGATTCCATACTTACCCCTGAAACACTTCGGCCTAGTCTCGATAGACTACTGGCCTGGCCCATACCATGTACAACTCGTACTGTATCCCCACCCGGTCCATTAACTAACGAAATATCCCGGCTTTCTCGTACACTTAAACCCTCGTTCAACTCCACGGTGTGGTAGCCTGCCTCAGGCCTATCTCGTACATTCAAATTCTCGCCAAGGCTAGGGATTGATCTCCCAGCATCTGGTGCACTCCGTACGGCTCTATAGCCTACATTGGACCCGTCCGCTAAATCCAGACTCTGGAATAAGTTATTAGGCCCTTTTTCACCGCGCCGGTAGCATAACTCCGGTACCCTATCCTTCTTCCGTTCCATTGAATCTTGGCCTAGCTTCATGCCTGACAAGCCTACTCGTCCAGATTGGTAACCCGACTCCGGTTCTACAGGCAACGAACGTATCATTGGGTCTGTCATCTTTGGTCTAGGCCTAACTCTATCTGGTTCTACGGGTACTTGTGTACAGGTATCTATCAAAGACATAGCTACTGGCTGTTTTTCACATTCTGTCATTATGACACTTTTATTATCTAGTATGGAAGAAGCATCATCGCTAAAATCAATCAGGTCCCCAAACATAGTGTATACGTGTAAAAAATAACAGAGTTAGCCTATAGTTATAAATAAATCCCACCACTGCCGCCAGTGTAACGTTCACTCCACCTAAAGACTAGGCCTAGGTTCGGCGTCGGTGTTATTCCGACGACTGATTTAGATGATTTCAATAAAACACTATACGATCTACTATTGTTCAATGATCTTCATTTATTTCCTTACACACTTCCAAGAGTACTGACAATTTCGAATAGCCTACCTAAACTGTGTACACCCGTGGCCGGATGTTTCAATGATAGAGATTTTAAATAATAGGTCCGGTACTGTTGGTGTTCCCAGCTTGACTCCCCAATTTACACATCTAGATGTGTATAAGAGACAGTAATGATAATAATGATGATAATGATGATGGTGATGATGATGATGATGATGATGATAATAATAATAATAAAGATTTATAAAGCGCACATCTCCACCAAAGGTGGTCAAGGCGCATGGGGGGGGGGGGTGGTGGTGTGAAATCCAGGGGAGAATCCAGGTATAGAATTCAGGAAAAGAGAATCCAGGGAGACGGGGACATTTTTTTTTCTCCATATGGCAGAAATTATAGATGGCGTTATTTTGGGTTCGTTAGATGCACTGATCATCCTGATCAACATGAATAGGATGCATGCCTGACCCCCCCCTGGATATGAAATTTTATTTATTTTTTTATTAAGAAGTGAACTAATAGGTTGCTAATGACCTTTATAACACCATAGTTGACAGTTAAATAGGGCTGTCTATTTGTTCAAAATAAAAGGCTTTTGTTTAAAGCCATTTCATCATTTTCCAAAAATAATACGGTGAATTTTGAAGTTAAATCTCTTGTTAATAATAATAATAATAATAATAATAATAATAATAATAATAAAATTAATAATAAAAATAATAATAATAATAATAATAATAATAATAGTAATAATAATAATAATAATAATAATGATAATAATAATAATAATAATAATAATAATAATAATAATAATAATAATAAAAATAATAATGATAATAATAATAATGATAATAATGATGATAATGATGATGGTGATGATGATGATGATGATGATGATAATAATAATAATAAAGATTTATAAAGCGCACATCTCCACCAAAGGTGCTCAAGGCGCATAGGCAATTAAACCAACAAGATCCAAATAATTCCCAGAAGAATTTTCAGCAAAATCCAAATACCAATTATCCCATCGAGGCAATGTTGCTCCCCATATAAGTATACGCAGATACCCAAAGGCAGTATGTTGAGCATCAGCACCTTCCACCCCAGGATAAGTCCGGGGCTCCACTACCGTGGACTGCAACAGGAGCTGCATTGCGTCGACAGAGAAAAGTGGTATCATGTGTATTAGTTTAATATCTTAAAATTAAGGGAAAAAATATACTATCCCTAATAAGACAAAGAAACTAACATATTTAGCATTATTTCAAAGATTTTTTACATTACAATAGCTATTAGTTTGATACCTAAAGCCTATCTTCACAACAATGAATGGCTCCCTCCCACGACCCTCACAATTATGTTTATAGTCAATTAAGGTAATTGTTTCTGGGGCGTCTAACGCATTTTGTTTTAATAATTGCTTTGTTTGAAATAACCTATTTCAACATAAATGTGTGACAAAGCCGTAGTCCTATGTTGGCAAGCGATTTTTTAATTGTTTATTATTAATGATTTTTAAAGCAATGATAATCTATTCAAAAACCGAAAGATCCACTGATTAATCTCAGATAAGAAAGTATAATACATACCGTACTCCAAGTATTGAAATACACGCCATCGTGTTGGGATTCAATATTTCGACATTAATTATGTCATCATCAGAAAACGTATCATTCAAGTGATGATGACATAATTAATGTCGAAATATTGAATCCCAACACGATGGCGTGTATTTCAATACTTGGAGTATGTATTATACTTTCTTATAATCTATTCAAGTCCTCAAAAGCCCTGTGTTATTCAATGCCATTATAAAAAAATGTATGCCTATATTATGCCTTTAGTAAAATATTAACGCACAAAAAGAATAATAGGGCGAGAAAGTTTATCGCGAGTGTATACAAAAATATATATTTTGCGATGTAAACAGATATTAAAAGAAAAAGAAGAAATATAAGTAGGTTTAATCCACTAAAGAGAAAAAATGAATACTAGGGCGAATGGCGCAGTTGGCCTGGCGTAGTCGTATGATCAGTATGTCCCTGTTCAATTCCACAACACTGTACAGTAGGCCTACTTGAGAATTTTGTGCTTTCAAATTAAGTCGCGGTCCAATTGTCTACCTTATACACACAGTGACGTGAATGACTGATATATTCATATTTATATTTATTTTTAACCTGATAACAAAGTAGCTTATCAATCTTAGCTGTTCTTTATTTAACTTTCAGATTATATTTGAATCAGTAAAAGGGAAAACGTATCATTCAAGTGACTTTATTGATGAAATTGATTATGAAAGGTCGCCATGTCCTAATGGTAAGATTTTATATTCATACTAATCATTGTTACGGGGCTCTGAAATACCACGGTGATTCTTAAATTTCAACCTAGTATTTATCTTATTTTTTTTTTTTGAGATATTGTATGTGACTTTGAAGACGGCTTTGGGGCTTGCCAGATCTCTAATGAGGATCGTACCCTAAGCAAGTTTCAATGGAAACTTTCACGGGGTTTCACAGCAACAGAAGGGACCGGACCAACAGCAGACCACACGTATGGTAATGGCACAGGTATGTTTATCTGCCATCTATTAATTTTTATTCACCTTTTTTTAGGTATAATGTAATGACAAAAACTATGATGTTGAAAGTTTATTCACAAACATACCGCTTAAACGAATCAATTGATACCGCAGAAAAATAAATTATGGATAATAACTCACAGTAAACAGAACCATAAGAAACTGTTTTTATTCGCCACTTTACAAACGCATTTTTTGTTCAAAGGCTCGTTTTATGACTACGCGATGGAGTGAGTATGGGGGTCAGCGCTTGCTACAGTGCTTGCAAATCTTTTCATGGGGCACCATGAACAGATATTGCTCAACCAATTCAATGAATAAAGTGCTGTTTTATACCAACGTTATGTTGATGATACATTTTGTTTATTTAATTCAGAACATGATGCATACTTATTTTTCAGTTTCTCAGTTCACGTCTCACAAATATACAAATTCACCAAGGAGAAGGAAGTGGAGAATAAACTTCGCTTCCTTGACGTGCTTATTTCAAAATCTGAAAGTAATAGCTCTGCACATACATCTATAATTAGAAAAAAAATAACACACATTTTCTGGACTACTCACTTCACAGTTTTTGTTCTAATTCTTTTAGAGATAGCCCTTGTCTGCACTTTAGTTGATAGAACATACAAAATCAACAGTAGCTGCCCTGGATCATATAGACATTTGAAAATTATTTTAAATACTTAGTTTTTGTATTTCTACTAAACGAAATAAATCAAAGAATTTTGTGATGATTTAGAACAAGTTAATTTTTACATCATTTACAAATCAGTGCTTGTGACATTTTAAGAAAAAATAAGTATCCATCTAGTTTAATTGACAAAATTATTTCGAATATCTAGTTTCTGTACTTTTCACTAAACGGAATAAATCAAATATTTCCCCTGATGCCAACATTTGCTATTAAATATATGGACCTTTTAGCAAGATCGTTAATTCTAAATCTAATTTGCTTCGTTGCCCAACTTTGTAGTAATTTAGAACAAGTTAATTTTTACATCATTTACAATTCAGTGTTTGTGTTCATTTAAGGATCCTCTTTCCGTTGATGTTCGTTCGGGCACTTTATACAGATTTACTTGCAGAAGCTGTAAAGCTTCCTATATCGGCGAAACTGGTCACCTTTTCAAAACACGCATAAACGAACATTTAAAAATTGACAAAAATTCACATGTTTTTAAGCACTTAAATACTTCCCATAACTGTAATGATGATTGCAACTAGGGCTCTTTCAAAATGATAATGTTCTGCTAATATAGTTTATTAACGTAAAATAGAAAATGCACTGCATATACAATGGGAGCAGCTCTCCCTCAACAGACAATGACAAATCGTTAATTTAACTCTTTCCTTTTGACTCACTGGATCATCTTTATTCATACATTTCTTCTCCTGTGTGGTTCAATTCCTTCAACTTGAATGCGCGGCATTCCATTTCTTCTAATGTATTTCTTTATCTTTAATCACACATTTCCCTACGCTTCAGATCGCTTACCGTACTCGCGCGAATAAGCGCCCGGGCGCTTAAAACATTCTTTTTTTGCACTTTCTCAGGGGCGCTTATTCAAACGGGGCGCTTATTCGAACGGGGCGCTTATGAAAACAGTGGAAATTGAGGGGGCGCTTATGGAAATAGATTAAAATCGAGGGGTTCTTATGGGAAATTATTACATTTAAGAGGCACTTTTTTGAATGAAAAAATATTATTTAAGGACATTACGAATGGTGCTTAGGCGGAAAATATAGCCTAATCATCCAGAGAACATGGCTCATGACAAGAATGCGTGAATATCATAATAGCAAAATAACAGATGCAATTAGTGGTGGTGAATAGTGGTTAGCTTGTTGGCCATCGGTCGATTGAGATTAGCAGGATGGTAGGATTATTGTATGTTTTTTATTGAAAACTTAGATGAGAATGTACTAAAGGTCGGGAAAAAGAAATGAGGAGTAGGACTAGGCATAGACATATGTAAAAAGAAAGAGTAAAGTTGGAAATATACTGTTTGACCTATATTTGAATATATTGACCTAAGAAGAATGTGTTTCCACTCTGCAGCTAAAAAGAAAATCTTATGAAATTATTGAGGGGAGTGGACGCTTATTCAAACTAGGCGCTTAAGGAAATTTTTAAGTTAGGAGGGGCAGCTATTCGAGAGGGGCGTTTATTCAGACGGGGCGCTTATTCGCGCGAGTACGGTATTTATAATTTTCAACGCATTCGTTCACTTTTTTTAAATACTAGAATGTGCGTGTCAGCATATTGTTAGACTAAAGAAGGCAGCAGCACTGCTAAAATATGTGATTTCATTTACAC